AAGTCGGACCTAGAACCAACGCAAGATCTGCAATTTCTAGGTATACGATTTCTAACAGCCCAGAATCGTATAGTAGTCCCGGAGGACAGATGGATCAAGATCCAACAGTTAATCCCACAAGCCTTACTCTCTCCGCTACCACTACGACAGTGGCAGATCCTATTGGGACTACTCACATCAGCCCAAGACTTGACAGTCAGAGGCAGGCTTCAATTACGTCCGTTACAAGTCCTCATCAATGCTCATCTCGAGGACCCTCTACCGTTCAGTCTACCAGATCACGTCAAACCTCATCTACTATGGTGGACCAAGAGATTGAATGTTTGCGTAGGCGTCTCCTTATTAGAGCCGGAATCGGAAACACATCTCTACGTAGACGCGTCACTACAAGGTTGGGGAGCCCACCTCGCCTACAAGACAGCGTCAGGCCTATGGAGCAATCAAGAGAGCAAATGTCACATAAATCTGCTAGAGATGCAAGCAGTCATAAACGCCATAAGTCACTGGAGCAACCTACTACAGAACGCTCAGTTGATGATTCACACAGACAATTTGACAGTGGCGTTTTATGTGAACAAACAAGGCTCAACAAGGTCACCGAACCTACTGTCCCTATGTTTCCGATTTTATGATCTAATCGACAATCTAAACATACATGTCAGAGCTTGCCACATTCCAGGAGCAAAGAATGTATTAGCAGACGCTCTCTCTCGGCCACACCTACCGTCGCCGACAGAATGGATGCTCCACACAGAGATATTCACTCAAATAATCATGGAAATAGGATCTCCACTAGTAGACCTATTCGCCACTCGATTCAACAAACAACTGACAACCTTTGTATCGCCAGTTCCAGACCCACTAGCATGGGCAACAGACGCACTAAGCATATCGTGGGAGGGACTCAACGCGTACGCTTTCCCGCCACCAGCGTTAATCCCACAAGTCTTACAGAAAATCAGTCAAACGCAGAGCCTCCATCTGATTTGGGTCGCACCCTACTGGCCAGCGAGAACTTGGTTTCCAAATCTTATTCAAGAAATCGGTCAACCAATTCTACAACTTCCAGAACGCTCGAATCTATTGATACATCCGCGCACAAACAAGTGCACGGAAAACCAGAAGTATTTTCAACTTCACGTATGGATTGTATCAAGGCATGTCTGAATAAGAGAGGTTATTCAGCCAGAGCGGCAAAAGCAGTCACGCTTGCACTGCGTAACTCAATTCGCAACTTATACGATGACAAATGGCACAGTTTTGTCAATTATGCTGCAAAGAAAAGGATTTACAACCAGATATGCTACTCATCCTCAAGTGGCGGACTACTTATGTTATCTAAGACAAACTAAGAATCTAAAAGGCTCAACTTTGTCCACTTATCTTGCAGCATTAAGCTCTGTCATAACTATGAGAACGGGCGTCAAGTTAACAAAGACCCCAGAGTTACTCGCTTTGCTACGAGCATTCTGATTGGAGGATCACAAGCGGAAGTTTCACGCTCCAGCTTGGGATCTAAATATAGTGCTCCAACACCTCACAAGTGAGGCTTATGAACCGTTAGAATCTACATCGTTTGAATCACTGACCCAGAAAACTTTGTTCCTGTTAGCGCTAGCTACGGCTGCCAGGATGTCGGAGATTCACGCTTTGGATTACGAGAGAACACGCTTTGATGATATTCATAACATCGTACATCTGGGACTACGCTGGGATTTTATAGCTAAGAACCAATTGCCAGGTCAACCAGACAGATTATTCCACGTCCAAGCTCTCTCATCCATTCTTGGACCTCATGATACGATGGATCTATCACTATGCCCAGTAAGAGCACTGAAAATATATCTCCACCGATCCAAACAGAGGAGAGGAAAATTCAAGAGATTATTTATCCCTCTATCTACAGCTACGCAGACGGAAGTCTCACGTACTACTATCTCAATTTGGATCAGAACTGTCATACTACGTGCCTACAAGGCTGCAGGACTCGACCCTCCAAGAACATCTAATCCTCATGAAATTAGAGCGCTAGCATCAACACTTGCTCTACACGGCAACTGCTCTTTGAATACCATAATGGAGGGTTGTTTCTGGAGATCCGATATGGTGTTTGCCAACCACTATCTGAGAGATATTACCACCAAGGACGTCTCAGGTATCCACCATTTCGGTCCCATGGTCCTCGCTCAACAGTTGACAGTTCCTCGGAGAAGATAAGTCAATCTTACAGATTTATACTTATCTGATATCAGTACTAAATAGCTACATGCTATATATATATTTTGCTTAAGTTCAATCTATTATCTTAAAGGTCACATAAACCCTAGGGGGTACAAATACATAAATCACTAACTGGCATCGTTATAAATGAAACCCCGTCATTAAAACTACTCATTTCGACCTTTAATTGACTTAAATCGACCTTTTTGACAACAGTGCACAATTCTAACCCGCGAACGAAATTTCAACCAATCAGAGCGGCGCGCATCTGTGACGTCATATGAGGAATAGCTTTGGGGGCCGATGCAGAATTCATCTACATTTTAGGGGTTAAATTATCTTGTTTACAGGCTTGTATAAACCTGAAATCGTGACAATTGTTGTGGAAAATTAAAGCTATATGTTCTCACAATCTACTGTCATTTAATTTTGTCTCCTGCTTTGCCTAGTTTCGAAGTTACAACTTGTTTTCATAGACGATTCTGTCAAAATCGATTGGTGTCGTTAGGGCCCTATTTGTATAATGACTGATCCAAATTGATCCCATTTTACCTCGATAATTAATCATGTCATGTAAAAATCTGTTTGTATTCTCAAAACAGTGTCGGCCCATAAGTTTTCACATGCAATACAGCAATTAATACTCCCTTGTTGTTACCTGTGTTAGGCGGTATAAACCTACACATGTTATTTGTCATCATTCACTTGATGGTCAGTTAATGAATTTATAACAGGTATAATTAGTGGTAACACACTTAGATTACCCGACAAAGGTTCCCATTTGGCATTTCTTGTGTCTGGAGTAAATATTCAACATTATAAACATCGAACAAAGGATTAACCGATAACATGCTGATTGATTAATTACTTTTATCTTACACAGCGGAATTGTCAAAAGGTAGTGTTTATGTATGTAGATTTACTAATCTATACTGAATACACTCATGTCGTGGTGGGTGTATAGCGTAAAACAAGCGTCCTTCTTTCAAAGGATTAACCGGCAATACATTGATTGATTGCCAATTATTGGCTAACTAAATTACTGTTTTTTAAAGAAAGGCGGACATTATGCAATTAGTTGCCAGGTGTGCTATCTTGGGTGACCAATGAGACTATACACCAATACCTGAAAAGATTTATCACTTTTAGGTATATTAAACTGTTAAAAAGACACATCATTTGGAACAGTTTTGTGGATATTGATGGATACATTCCTCGAACAAGGTAATGGCCTGATATTGTTCCTATAACTTTAATCTGTTTTAATTTTAATATTTGCATTTTGTTTTTATTCATTTGTCGTAGCATTCAACAGAATCATTGTTTTCGCCGTGAAGTGTAATGAGACAGATAACATGCACTAGGTGATGTGTGCTGATTATGATTCACATTGGCAAACTATCAAATGTCTAGATATTACAGTTCCGTTATAAATTCACTATAAGTATCAGCAGATCGTCTGCTTTTTATTTAGTTTCAAAATGCATATAAGTATGATAATAAACTAATTAGGATAATAAGACCAAATATACAGGCAGCACATTAACTAGTATCTACATACTGGTGATGGACATTAACCATGGGAATGTAGAAGGAATTTCAGCGCGCAGTATTGTGACTTCGACCCCACCCTCAGCTTCCGTGGAAGAAATCGTTATGTTATAAGTTGTGTCATGCAAAATCCGTTTGGTTATGATTCCAATACATATTTAACTTCTTGAGTAGAAAGTAGTTTTGATTTTCTAACTTGATGAAAACAAACTATAATCTCATTAATTCTAACAGATTTTTTATTTTTAAAATTAGCTCAGTACTATGGTTATTATATCATACAATATATTAGCTAACAACTCTAGAAGTTTTGCTATTATATTTAGCTTAAGTTTCATCATATCTTAAGCTCAGTAATATGGTCACATTTTATATACATATTAGCTAACAAACTCTACGGAGTTTTTGCTATTATATAGCTTAAGTTGAATTATATTTGTACTATATTATATAGCTTAAGTTTATGCATATCTTAAGCTTAGTACTTTGGTTACTTCATAAAAGTATATTAACTATAAACTCAAGGAGTTTATGCTATCACATTAACAACTTAAGTCTACTAGTCTTAAGCTTTGTACTAATGTTGTATATACTTTATCATAATAAGTATATTGTAATAGTTATATTGTAATAACCCATATATGGCAGCTGATAAGTTAGCAGCAGGAATTCATCAGTTCAGTGCCTTTTATGAAGTTCCCATAGGGTTATTACAGTCATTACAATTCAAATCACTAATTATCCAAATCCAAAGTATTATATATTCCCACCTCCATAGCCGTTGAGTTCTACAAGCAAATAAGCATGAGTCAGGATAAGGAAAATATGTAATTTTCTGAGTAAAATTGATATTTTATACTTATCCTGACTCATGAGGTAAGCCCTCCCGTCCTCCCCACATAACACTTTGGATTTCCCTGTAAATTCAAGTGTTGGGCTCGCTAGGAAAGGAGAGAGTGAGGCACATGGTGGGAGGTGGCGCCCTCGTTCCCGAGCTTGCGAGGGGAAAGATAACTCAGGGTGAGTACTAATTAGTGATTTTACATTGAAGGGAACTTCAATTGGGAGATACAAGTGTTCCACTGTGTTCGCAAAGAAGAAGAAGACAAGCAAATAAGCATGAGTCAGGATAAGTATAAAATATCAATTTTACTCAGAAAATTACATATTTGTTAGTAAATTATTCAACTACTAACATTACCAATATGTTTTTCAACTTCATTCTGCAGGTGGACATGACGAAGGTGAATGTGGACACACTGAAGCCGTGGATTGCCAAACGAATCACTGAACTTCTAGGCTTAGAAGATGACGTTATCGTTGAATTTGTATATAATCAGTTAGAAGAAAGGGTGAGAGTTTTTTTTGTAATGGTTATTTTCATCCCATCCAACATGCCATTTACTGCATGAGTATGCTCTTTTTTGTCTAGGAATACATTGAACCTGAATATATATGATAGGAATTAAATCAGTGATAATTCATATCTAACCACAAACCATATAGTTATCATAATCAGGGCACACAATGCCTAGTGACAGTCTTCATATTTCTTTGTCAAATTCCCATCAGTTTTGAACTTAAGAATACATTGTGTATTATTATTATGTTATCCAAGCTAAACAAGAAAACAGATGTACAAATTGTATATGTTGTTGTGCATAGTTGTGTAGACGAAAGAGTTGTGCGATTTACTTACTCTTGACTGTTTCCTTCCGCTATTAGAGAAGATCATAATTTCTCGTCAGCGAGCTATCAGTGACAAGCCAAGAGATGATCTTGCAGGGTACAGTTATTCCATAGCTTTACATAGTTATCAGGACCAACCAAAATACCCTTGATCCTCGCGATGATGCTCCATCGCAAAGGTGGCTCTTGCACAACAGGGTTTGTATTTTATTTCTGTCAAGTTTTCAAAAGTCTTTCTACATGTACACGTTTCTCTCTGTAATCCCTTGCATTTGAGCTTCCCTATCCACAGTGGAAGGTAGTCAAGTTTACAAAGTCACCTGAATTCATGGAAGTTTGACAAATATCTTCAAATCTCAGCTTATTGTAAATATCATTTATCATGTCCACAGTAAATCCAATTTCAAAATACATAATGTTCCATGAGTATTTATTCAGGCATGTAAGAACTGTTCTCATGTTGATTTCTTCTAGGCAGCCATCTTGGAGCGCGGATCACCATCATTCGGATCTGCTACTGTTGACAGCCAACTTAAAATTTAACATTGTCAAGTATTGTACTGGAAAAGCCAATAGTGTCACAATACCATCGTTTGGAAAGTGGAAGATGTTGTGTGGTTGCTTGTTAGTAATGCATGACAATGAATTTATAATGTACATGATCTTTGGAAGCAAACAAGTCTCTCATAGCAAGGTGGACAGTATCTCAAACCCATCTCATTTAGGATATAAAATTGATGAAATGTGATTGTAGAATTAGAACTATGAATTTGTCTGAGGATGTAAAACACTAGAACCTTATTCATCTACTACGACTGTCAAGATGTTTGGCATAGTTTTGGTTAAATAAGGTTCTGGTAGAGGAGAAGAGATGTTTTCAGCAGTATAATTAGCATGCTACATTGTGACCTTCAAGTTCAAATATTTTTTCAAATTATGAACCTTTCTTTTGACTTGTAGTCATACTAGTAGGAGTACTATAAGTTCAACATGTTTGATTATAGTTGCAGTAGGGATGTACAAAGTATTGGAATATCATATACATTTAATAGGATGTAATCAGTTAATGTGTTTTAGTTGCATGTTATTCAGACGTGAAGTTTTTCAGAAAGTTTATGTATTGAAGCTACATTGACACTTTCTTCCAAGGAATGAGTATGGGTTTTAGATATAAGCATTTTTTTCTCTGGCATACACAATACCAATTGCTTATGTAGTGTCAGTATACAAGGGTTCCTGTATGCTAGAGGTAGTGTTATGGCAGGACAGTTATTTATGCAAGTGTTCTTCCCACCATGTATCTGCAGATGCCAGACCCAAGGGAGATGCAGATCAACCTCACTGGCTTCCTCAACCCCAAGAATGCCCGCATCTTCATGTCAGAACTTTGGGACTTGCTCTGTAGCGCACAAGAGAATGTTGGTGGCATTCCCACTGCATTCCTTGAACAAAAGAAAGAAGAAATCAAGAGAAGACAGGTAATGTTGTCCCTGTTCTTTTGTCTCATCACATGTTATTGTTGCCCCTGTCTGTAAGTTTTCTCCTGCCTCATGATCGCATTCGTGTAAATCTGGGATAGAATTTGTCCTCAGCAACCCATACTTAATGCAAGAGGTGACTAATGCTATAGGGTGGTCAGGCTTGCTGACTTGGTTGAAACGTCATCGTATCACAATTTCTTAGATCTATACTCATGCTGTTGATCACTGGATTATCTGGTTGATCTCTTGATAATTTACAGACCATCATCATATACTGTAAACATACTTATTTTTAGCGTGGTGCAATTTTCGCGGAATTGACAGTTTAGACTTCATCGCACGGTCAATTATTCGCGCAATCAGTAATTGCCGGAACTGCCAGCTGTCTCTTTGGCCGCCACTAATAGCAGTGAAAACAAACAGAGTGGCTTAACCTGTCAGGCGGCGTTTATTGCTTACTCACAGGAAATCTCTACCTGTGCGATATACTAGTACACAGTAATCCGTTTACTCCCGGAAGAGATGAAAAACACATCAGTCTTATGTTCCGAATTCTGACGATTTGACGAATTAACTTATACTGTATATGAAGCTCTTTGTGATTTCAAACAAGCCGGGTTGTTGTGAATGAGATGAGTGTTAGTGACTATATTCGCTTCATGATGTACTGGTGAATAAAATCTTAATGAATAAATAAAATACTGCTGTATTATTTCTTTCCGAGTTGTTTCACGGTAATCTGTTTTGTATCAAACCATCTGTCATGTGACCAATTTCCATGGCGGCCACAACACACATTGCTGTTTTCGCTAATTCAGCAATGGGATTTGGCTCATTATTTAATTATGTTTTGGGAAATCCATTACAGCGACAGTTAAGTATGATCAGTCGTCATTTTAAGATTCCCGTTGATTTCTGTTGTGATGTGTTATGGTAACAACTCAGGGGGCGAGCGTGGCTAGACTGAATGAATGACAGGTTTATTCGCGGTGTATAAATTTTCGGGCTAAAATGTTTTGCGCGAAAAGCGCGAAAATAAAACCTGCGCGAAATATAATACGTTTACAGTAGCTGGAATATTGCTCATTGAAACAAACATGATCAAATTACTGCTTCCCCCTCTGTAAGTGGTCTCATTGTCCTTTCCCTTTGCCCAATTGCTGGATATGCAACAATTATGAAGTTGTAACATATGCCATGTTTGGAATTACATTTCAGCAACCTATACTTGTCGTAAAAGGTGACTAACGGGATCGGGTGGTCAGGCTCACAGATTTGGTTGACACAAGTCATCGTATCCCTATTGTGTAGATCGATGCTCATGATGTTGATCACTGGATTGTCTGGTCCAGACTCTGTTATTTAGAGACCGCCACCATATAGCTGGAATATACTGAGTGCGGCATTAAAGAACAAATAAACTTTGTTTTTATCCCCCGCAACACGTTTTGCGGGGGGTATTAAAATGGACTTCGTCCGTCCGTCCGTGTACATTTGTCTTTTCCGGAGCAGAACTCTAAAACCATTCACTATTTCTTCACCAAACTTGGCACATAGATAGATCTGGTGGTGTACTGGTGCCTTTTGGTAGTTTTTGAATTCTGAATAAAATATTTTTGGCTTTTCCGTGGCAACAAGTTTGACTTAGCCTGAAATTGGTGGTAGTACTCTTTTCCGGAGCTGAACTCTAAAACCGTTCACTATTTCTTCACCAAACTTGGCACATAGATTGGTCTGGTGGTGTACTGGTTCCTTTTGGTAGTTTTGGATTTCTGAATAAAATATTTTTGGCATTTCAATGGCAACAAGTTTGAGGTGAGGTGAGGTGAAATTGGATTTAACGTCGTGCTTGAGAATATTTCGCTCATATGACGACGTGCATGCGTGTGTGTGTGTATGTGCGGCTGCTTGTACTAGCCCAGACTTAAGCAGGTTTTATAGTGCTAGCCCACTGAGATACCATACTGCAGTGAAGCATGGATACCCCACTCAGACACATTATACTGACTCCGAGCCAACCAGTCCTTGTTGTACCCATTAATGCCGAGCGCCATTCAGGGACCAACAAGTACCATGTTTAAACGTCTTTTGGTATGACGCGGTCGGGGATCGAACCCGCTACCTTCCGCTCTCCGTGCGGACGCTCTAACCACTACACCACGGAGGCGGTCACATCAAGTTTGATATAGACTGAAATTGGTGCTCCTTTCTGGAGCAGAACTTAAGAACCTTTCAATACTCTCCTTCCACTTTTCTATATACACACCTAAATATTTGACATAATCATAACTCGTAGACATAATCATGAAGAGTATTTTGCCATTGCGGGGGATATTGATGACTTTGTCTTCTTGTTTTGTACTCTTTTAACCATTACATATGAAAGATTTGTGGTTAGTCTTATGCAGAACACCAAATTCATTCTTAAAAAACTTGTGGTTAAGTAATACCGAGTGATTAAGAGTTGCCAGAAAGTTGCCTGCTTCACTCTCGCCCGCCAACGAGACAGGTTACCTAACTCTGTCGCCAGAGCAATGCAGTGACGTCATATGAGGAAGGATTTTCAGTTAGTTGCATAGAAAGTGTATAGCAAGCTCGTCATTTTGATGATTTCTCGACATCAACGAAGACATGCGGAATCATTGCGTTGTCGTCAATTGGTCCTAAGGGTTGGGCGATGATGTCACCATGCACAGATTTCCACAGGACCCCGCAGTTTGTGCTAAATGGGTTATGTTTGTGAGTGTGAAGCGAGCGTTGTGGAAGCCTGAAACGATATCTTACTTGTGTTCAGATCACTTCACGGAAGTTAAAGAATCAAAACTACTTACTAGTTGTAGTAAAATATGTATATGATTGATGACCATAAAGATTTTCCATGACACAACTTGTAACATAACGATTTCTTCCTCGGAAGCGTGGTTGTGTTCGAAGTAACAATAATACTGTAAGTAGTAATATATTGACACCCACCTCGCTTCCACGAGAGAAATTGTTATGTTATAAGCTATTTAATGCAAAATCCTATTGGCCATCAATCAAATACATATTTTACTACCAGTAGAAAGTAGGTTTTGATTTTGTAACTCGGTGAAAACAAACCTAAAGAGCATTTATTCTCTACTGGTAGATGCTTGCGACAGGGCGCCGCCGTTTTTTAAAATCGTAAAGTCACGGGCTAAAGTCTGTTAGAATTAATGAGATTATGGTTTGTTTTCATCAAGTTAGAAAATCAAAACTACTTTCTACTGGTAGTTAAATATGTATTTGAATCATGACCAAAAGGATTTTGCATGACACAACTTATAACATAACAATTTCTTCCATCGAAGCGAGGTGGGGGTCGAAGTGACAGGACTGAAATATCTAGGGCTGGGACGATTCACCGATGCATCGATGCATCCCAATACATTAAAGTTTGATACAGCTATCGTATCGTGCACTGGTGTATTGATACACAACTCTTTTTTCCAAAAAGTATTATCTTAAACATGTTACAGTACTTATGTAAAGAAAAATACGCAAGTATGATGGAGTTACCTGTATATTTATTTACAATAGTGTTCTTGTTAAACACAAATACCTTGAAATAAATCATTTTAAATCTTGATACCGTGTCATTCTTTCAAGGTGAATGTATCGTGATACGTATCATATCGCAGGTAAAATATTGCGATATGTATTGTATCGTGACATAGTGTATCGTCCCAGCCCTAGTAATATCTAGACATTTTATAGTTTGCCAATGTGAATCATAATTCGCACACGCCCTAGTGTATGTTGTCTGTCTCATTACACTTCCCTGCGAAAACAATGATTATGTTGAATGCTACGACAAATGAATAAAAACAAAAAGCAAATATTAAAATTAAAACAGATTAAAGTTATAGGAACAATGTCAGGCTATTACCTTGTTCAAGGAATGTATCCATTAATATCCACAAAAACGAGTGATATGCCATTCATCTGCAGCTGTTCCAAGTGATGTGTCTTTTAACAGTCTAATATACGAAAAAGTGACATATCGTTTCAGGTATTTCACATTGGTGTATAGTCTCATTGGTCACCCAAGATAGCACACCTGCCAACTAATTGCATAGTGTCCGCCTTTCTTTAAAAAAATGTAATTTAGTTACCCAATAATGAGCAATCAATCAATGTATTGACGGTTAATCCTTTGAAAGAAGGACGTTGTTTTTTCGCAGACACGACAGAGTGTATTCAGTATAGACTAGTAAATCTACATACATAAACACTACCTTTTGACAAATCCGCTGTGTAAGATGAAAGTAATTAATCAATCAGCATGTTATCAGTTAATCCTTTGATTGATGTTTATAATAATGAGTATTTACTCCAGACACAAGAAATGCCAAATGGGAACGTTTGTCGGGTAATCTAAGTGGTGTTACCATTAATTATACCTGTTATAAATTCATTAACTGACCATCAAGTGAATGATGACAAATAACGTGTAGGTTTATACCACCTAACACGGGTTACAGCAAGGGAGTATTAATTGCTGTATTGCATACAATTTTAATTGCATGTGAAAACTTATGGGCCAACACTGTTTTGAGAATACATGTACAAACAGAACTTTATTGTTGCATAAGAAATACATATAAGCATTTGCTGTGTGCTAAGACTGTATGTACATATTTACCTAAGTAAATTTTCAGATTCTTCTAGCAATGGCAAAGTAGGGTTGTTTAGTTTACGGATTCAGCTAAATCAAATGTCAATTTTTCATATTATATGTAATAGACGTCATATTTTTACATGACATGATTAAATATTGAGGTAAAAAACACAGAAATTGGATCAATTTGTATCAGTCATTATACCATCCAGAGAAAACCCGAAAAAGCCCACACTGCTTTGATACTTTAATACAATCAGACAAGAACTACCGGGAATATTTTCAAATAACTGCATCTGATGGGCATCCACCCTTCTTAATGTCGTACTGTTTAGGTTGAAAAAATTAACCGTAACCGTGCTGAGCGAGGCTGATCATCGTTTTCGCTATCACTAGCGTCTGGCTTGAACAAATAAGGCCAAGCGATTTTGACAGAATCGTCTATGAAAACAAGTTGTAACTCAGAAACTAGGCAAAGCAGAAGACAAAATTAAATGACAGTAGATTGTGAGAACATATAGCTTTCATTTTTCACAACAGTTGTCACAATTTCAGGTTTATACAAACCTGTAAACAAGATAATTTACCCCCTGAAATGTACATGAATTCTGCATCAGCCCTCATATCTATTCCTCATATGACGTCACAGAGACGCGCCGCTCTGATTGGTTGAAATTTCGTTCGCGGGTGATAATTGTGCACTGTTGTCAAAAAGGTCGATTTAAGTTAATTATAGATCGAAATGAGTAGTTTTAATGACGGGGTTTCATTTATAATGATGCCAATTAGTGATTTATGTATTTGTACCCCCCTAGAGTATATGTGATCTTTAAACAACAAATCAGCCAACCAACCAGCCAGCCAGCCAGCATTTTCTCTGTAAAGTACAGTGTTTAATTATGCAATGACATCCTTTGATGCTGTTGACTGATACTTCAAAGTAATTAACCCAGTGAAGACTTTACTGTTGATGGTTACTGTGTTGCTACCTCAGGCTGAGCAGGAACGAATCCAGACAAGTCTGAAGAAGCATGAGGAGCAGATCAAGGAGGCCCTGGCCAAAGAGAGAGAGAAGAGTGAAAAAAAGGACAGAGACAGCAGGTAGGCTTGGCAAGGCTAGTGTGATGTCTCTGTTTCCACTATCCCCTCCCTCTCAAAGGGGGATGTAGTCAGTGGTTAAAGTATCTGCTCATCACTCCGAAGACCTGGCTTTGATTCCCCACATGGGTACAATGTGTGAAGCCCATTTCTGATGTCCTCCCCTTTGATATTGCTGGAATATTGCTAGAAGCAGTGTAAAACCATACACTCTCAAAGGGAGGGCAGATAGTGTTTTTACCTTGGTTGGGTTTTGTGTTGGTATTGATTCCCAACCTATTCCAAGCCAAAACTTTGAAACAGTTCACTGTTTTTGAGCAAAAACTTGGCATTGTTTATCTGCTAACTGGTAGCCTTTGCTATGTTGAAATTATATTTCTATCTGGGCTGTGAGCTTTTGACCAAGATTATACTCATAGACTTCCATTCTAAGCCATGTCTCAAACTATTGAATATTTTTTTCACGAAACTATAAATGTACAAGGACCAAATGCCATTGCCTTTTCTTCTTTTTATTCATTCTTGTTGATTTTCTTGTATCCATGGAAACAATTATCTCAAACTTAATCTCAAACAAATTGTGTTTGTTCCCCGCTAATATCTATTTCTCCATGAAACCGTTTTCTTTATATTATTTACTGTTTGTCAGATTTGCAAACACATAAGAACAAAAACTTGAACTAATGTGTTGAGGAAAGTGGGGGAGTGGCACTAAAACATGTTTTAATTAACATTGTAACCCTGACACCTGACAGTGCAGATTGTTCCTCATGCTGTAAACCAGTAGTTTGTTCATTATCTAAGGGTTTGGGACACATGAAATACTGACATCTAAAGGGTTCATGCATTTGCTTGGCCCTGTGAAGACTCGGGTTGAAAGATGTCACAACATCGTATCTTTCTTAGATCAAGCGTGCAGACATGGTGATTTGGTCGATAGCTAGTGTCACACATGGCATGGGACAATACCAGCCACTGGTCTGGTCACTGTGATGTAGTTATATATATTTTTAACTTACCTTACCATAGGTCTTATGCATATTACCTCAAGCTCCGCTTAAAGAGATCAGACAGTCGTTGATTCGCCATTCTGTAGAACGGCCACCTCGTGTATCGACGAGTGTACAGGCAACGGAAGTGACGTGATCTCCCCTCCCGCGCAAGCGCGGTCCATCCAAAATCACTTTTACTTCAAGCGTCTTGCTGGTCAGACGTTTTTGTTTCGCTAAGTTTCAGACACTTACTAATAGATTTCAGATATTAAAGTTATTGGTATGTATGTTTTTCTATCTTATGTCTCTTCTCTGTGGGTGAAGAACATAATTTACAAGTAACTTCACTTACCTGGCTACCTCGTGGTTATGTTTTTCACTTCGGCTTGGGGGGTGTGTCCCTCTAGGGTTCTTCCACCTTCTGTTTCATGCTTGTTTTTGTGTACCTCCTTTTTTCTTGCCTAATTTGTGTGTTTTTTCACGCTTTTTTCGGCTCAGTGTGGGGGCAGCCATCTTGGTTGTTTACACGACTGTCCCACTTACTTGGGCGTGCCCATTCTTGTGGGAGGGGTGCTTCCATTTTTTCGTCTGCAGGGGTTGTTTCTAGGTTTTTTACGTTTCACATTTGTGTGTTACAGCTTTTGGTGTGCATGACCCGGCAGTTTTGTTGCATCTGCAAGGTGCAGAAGTCTGCCAAGGACCCACACCCCTGGTGCCCAGACTGTGCGACTGTTGCCTGTTCCATTGACGAGCGCTGTCACTTTTTGTACTCCGCTGTCCGTCGCAGATTTCAAGGCCTACCTCAGCTAAGAAGAAACGCTTGTCACAACGGAAGAGGAAAATGTCTTCCCCTGTTTCTTCTGTGGACTCCCGGTCTTCTCCCCCTCGTACGCCGGTCGGACGCTCTTCTCCTGTGATAGATCAGCCGTCCACCCCTGCGCCTCGTTTGCTGACGCCTGAAGCCAAGCGCTCGTCTGACGCCTTTGTTGACCTATCCCACCCGGACGCTTTGTCGCATCCGGAGGTTCAGAAGTTGCTTCGGACGCTCCTTTTGCCGGCAGCTGCCGGAGCCCAAGCTAGCACCGTTCCAGCGCCGTTGCCTAGCTTTGTCCCTGCGCCGACGCCTGTGGCACTTGATTCTCCAGTTGCTGACTTGTTGCTTCAACCAACGTCGATGCCTACGCCGACGCCCATGCTGACGCCGACGCCTGTACCGACGCCAGCGCCAGCGCCAACTCCGACGCCTTTGGCAGACTACCGTATCCCCAGGAAGGCTACAGTGTCTAGAGAGGAGAACCTACAACGTCAGTTAATGGAAGAGCGTTCCCGACGTCAGGACGCCGAGCGTTCCCATCGTTCTCGACGATCTCGTTCCAGGTCTCCTCGGCAGCATCATCGGTCTAGGAGTCCTCGTCTTAGTTCGGATACTTCTCTTCGCCGTCGTCGGTCTGACTCAAGGTCTCGCTCTCCCGTACGTTCCAAGGATAGGGAGAGGCGCTCACGGTCACCGATGCGTGGTAGGCGATACCGTCGGTCCCGTTCAAGGTCACCTCCTGTTCACTGCTCGCCGCGACGTCCACGTTCCCCGACAGTTACTTTGAGTGCTGCTTCTCAGTTGTCATCGGTGCGCCCACGAAGCCTGCTGCTTCGGTCAGCGATTTACTGCTCCTACCGTGTCCTGGGAGGACACTGAGGGCGCTATTTTCTCCGATTATAATGAGGAAATGTTGCAAGAGGATGATGATGATGGGGCACCTACCTCCCTCTCTGCTGTGTTCGACTGGATTGCCGACAGACTGCCGGATTGTCCTTCTCCCTCTTCAGGTTCGGCCGACCCGAAGGCTATTCGGTCTTCTCCGGAGTTACTCCTCCCGCCTCACCCGATGGTGGCCGATGCTGTGGCTTCTTTGGACGCTGATTTTGCTACTTTGTCTCTCAATACCACGATAAAGGCTCCTAAGTCACGCATAAAGGGGATTACAAGATTCATAGTTTGGATTTTGCCGATGGAGGCGCTGCTCATGACGAGTCCCTCAAGCTTATCGGCTTCCCCACAGGCATCCTACCGAGTGCAGGACTCCAAGATGTTGGCCATTGATGCAGAACTCAAGCGGATGTTGAAGCCGGTATCAGCGTTGGCCTCGCAACTTCGGCTGCTGCTTGGGATCTGGACGGAAGACAACACGCCAAGGTTAGAACATCTTACCACCCTGTTTCAATGGCAGGGCAAGGTGTTGCATGATTTGCTGGCGCACCTGGCGGCTCTGGCCATGACAACGGTTGTTCGGGCGGATGGGTTTCCTGGAGCCCTGTTCTTGGCAGGAAGAGTTTAAAAGGAAACTGTTAAGAGCCCCTTTGCGCGTCCTCGTTTCCTCTTTAATGACGGCATTCGGAGGTGTATAAGGAACACGCAGAGCTTACCAATACGGAGGTTTCTTTGTCTACGTTCGAAGCTTTGAGTTCGCCTTCGTGGCAGATCATCTGCAAGGGGTAGAGGGAAGCGCCGTACGCCCCGAAGAGACTCCGTCCGCGGCGCCTCTGGCAGAGGACGTGGCGTGGCAGATCGAACCTGTTTTTCAGCCCAGCAGGATCGCCCCCGGGACCCCCTTCGGCCCGGCAGGGTAGGGGGAGGCCCTTTACCGCCGGTCACTGAAGTTGCGACCCAACACGACTGGGACCTCCGCCCCCAGTCGTGCGGTTTCGATCCTACTCCAGTAGGCGGGAGACTGGGGATCTTCTGGCCCAATTGGACAATCCTGGAAGACCCGTTTATCACCAACATTCTCAGGACCGGTTACAAGCTGCCAACGCCGCCGTTCGCCTCTGACTGACTTCAACGCTCCAGTCGCGTGTGTATGCTCCAGACCAACAGTTACTGCTAGCAGACAGCATCCACACTCTGTTACGCAAACAAGCTATAGAGACAGTGCTAGACCCCCGACAGTCCCCGGGGTTCTACTCACCAATCTTCCTGGTTCCCAAGAAGGACTCAGGGAAACTACGCATGATTCACAACATGGCAGTTTTCAACCACCTTTATCTTTCGGAACCGCCTCACTTCCGCATGGTGTCCCTGGAACAGCTACGAGCCAAGCTTGCGCCCAGGGTCTGGTTGGCCAGCCTCGACCTTCAGGATGCCTACCTGCATGTGCCCATTTACCACCGTCACAGAAAGTACCTGAGGTTCTTTTTCAACGGGTCCCACTACCAGTGGAAAGTGCTTCCATTTGGAATTTCCACGGCCCCGTGGCTTTTTACTCGGATTACCTCGCCGATCACCCGGTTCCTCCATCTCAGGGGCATCGACTTCGACCCTTATATAGACGACTGTCTCATGAACCACCTCGACCCTCAGTTGCTTCGCAAACAGATGCACTTTGCCATTCATCTCTTGCAGCAACTGGGATGGATTATCAACATAGACAAATCCCACCTGGAGCCGTCCCAGGAACTGACGTTTATAGGAGGCCTCTTCCTGACACATTGCGACCTTGTCAGGATTCCGCTAGATCGCTGGAGAAAGATTGTCAGTTTCGCCAACCCCGAGGTCTATCCCAGCCGCTCGTGCTCAGGGAGTGGCAGTCCCTCTTAGGTCTCCTCACCTCAGCCCAGGACTTGACGCTCAGAGGTCGCTTGATGCTTCGGCCGTTACAGCGCTTCCTGTTGCCTTACATCCAGGCGGACGACCTTCAGTTGAGGTTCCTTTGCCCCTGCATCTCCACGCTTACCTCCGTTGGTGGACTGTCGAGTCGAACGTCTGCGCGCAGGAGTCTCCTTGACAGAGTTTGTTCACGATCACGAACTGTTAAGTAGATGCGTCTCTTCAAGGTTGGGGTGCTCACCTCAACGACCAGACCACCTCGGGGCTGTGGTCAGGCACCGAGCTAGGATGGCACATCAACAACTTGGAGCTGCAAGCAGTCATTTTGGCGGTTCGACACTGGTGCCTCTGTTCGCGGAACACCAGGCTCCTGATAGCGCCGGACAATTCCACGGTGGTGTGGTTGATTC